GGGGTCCCCATCATAAGAATTATGGTGCTTTGGTGGTCTATATAGAGGTTCGCTGATTTAGGAAGGCTACCAGAAAACCGAAGCGTTCTTTGCATTTCGTCATTGCCAGAAGAGTTTCTTGTATTGCTATACCTTGTACTTGTACTAGCATAAGTTGTAGTGTTACGTAGTATGATGAGTAGTTTTGAATATCAGTTGGTGTTTTTGTCTTTGTTGGGGACTGGTTGAAGCCTAAACCCTAAACCCTAAGGGGTCTGGGGCTACTGGGTTTGGGAGTCAGAGTTTAGGTTCTAGGACTGGGAGGGTTGACTGGTGGTTCAGGATGTGGGGGTTTCCCAAGACTAGGGATCCCTCTTGGGGAGTCCTCATATTAAGGATTTCATAGGTATGGGTGTTCAAGGGGTTGGGGGTTTACTGTTTGGTAAGAGCTGCCGCATTCCAAAATTTGTCGCATAGACAGATGAACACGAACCATATTATGAGCGGAGTCTTCGCATCATGTGATGACTGCATTGGCATCACTATGGCTCTAAGTTCTGGTCACTGTTTTTGATTTGAAATGAACATGACGTTGACAACCCATCCTTGCGGTACGATTGTGCCTAGCTGCCTTCTTCTCTACCCATCAAGCTTTTTTGTGACATCAGGCCGTGAATGAAGTGTGCAGTCAGGTCAAACCCTGGGAGAGTTTTAAACTCCTGTCCCCTAATCCAGAATCCCTCACACACACCTGATGCCCTAAATCCTAAACCCCTAAACCCTTAACCTTAAACCGCTCAACGTAGGCAGACCATCACGCGCACCGTGGGCTGATCGTACGGCGATGGCGCGGCCGCATGGCCGGCGTTGAGCTTCCGAAAGACCGAGGCCTGCTATATACGTGATTAGATGGGGGCTATACAGGAGTTAGATGGGGCTTATTTAGGGGCTAGATAGGGGTTAAATAGGGGTTATCTACAGTTTATATAGGGACATAGGGGTTATATAGGGATATATAGGGTTTTAGGGTGATACGGTGGGAATTGGGGTGGAATTCTCAGTAGTTCAGGCCTACGGTTCAAGCTTTGGCTAGGTAGGGAAGAGCCCAGGATAGATATCCTCGAGTCTCTTAAATCCGTTACTGCGATATGTAACGCTGTGTTTCGTAATCTACCTAACGTAGACCCATAATTAATTAAAGAAAACCCTCCCATTCATAGCAATTATAATAGGGATCCTAGAATTAAGGCCCTTCAAAGGAGGGGGTTTATTAACCACGGGTCTACATTACCTGGGTCTGCGGGCTGGAGGGCCTAAACCCCTAAACCCATATGGTCTGCAGTCTGCGGGCTGGAGGGTTGGTGTTTCACGGGCTTCGGGCTGTGGCCCCGAAGACAGCTCCCAAGCAGGCTGACATCCTCGGCACTACATGAGCCGTTGTCTAAACTCATAGTATCCCTTTATATAGGGGTTATGAAGGGAGTACATAGGGTTATATATTGGTTATGTATAGTTTAAGCTCCTAGTATCCCCCTTCGTAGCCCCTATAATACTCTAATATATACCCTCCCTTCAAGGTGTTTAGACTGTAGCTCACATTCGCTGTCGGGGATCCACCAGGTGTGTTTTGGGTGGGGTATGTAGATGGACACCAGTGTTGGGAGTTGCATCCGGAGACTTGAGGTTGCCAGACTTTCAACTTAATCGAGAAATTTGAATTCTAAAGGCCAGCCTTCTTCTTGTACGGTCTATGTGAGCTTGTGAATGGACAGGATTCCGATTTGCGCATACACTAAGCTAGAAGAGCGCAAGTTTGGCCCAGACCTGCCTAATCCCGTGTACTATCTTTACACGGTGAATGTTCAGCCCTCCAGAAACAAAAGGCCGCACAGACAAAAGCGTCGCCTAAAGAGGGTCGTTTTGAAAGACCTTTAAAGCATATATGCCCCTAGATAATTCCTATATAGCCCCTATATAGCCCTATATAGTGCCTATTTACAGGAGTGAAGAATCCTGACTTTCGTGGTCTGAAGCTGGGCCTCCTAATACTGAATGCGCCCCCCCAACACCCCAACAATCAATGTAGGGGGGTCCCTGTATTAGGTCGAAGTTCCCTTGCTATTTAGGGAAACGAATATCTACATTATATATACCAAAATACAAAAGCCATATATTCATCTTTGCTGATTCTTAGTTTTCAGACAAGAAAAGTACTAAGAATAACAATAATAATAGTAGTAATAATACCAATAGTAATAATACTAATAGTAATAGTAATAATAATAACAATACTAATAATAATGGTAGTAGATTGGCAGGCTTCAGCTTCTCCGTGATTGGCTCCCGGCAGTGGGGGGACCCCACTCCCACCATGGGCCTGGAGCTGGGCCCAGGGAAGAAGAGTCTCCAGGCCTGGGAATGTAGGGGTCTGAAATCATTAGAATAGAGTAGGGTTTAGGGTTTAGGGTTTAGGGCTTAGGGTTCAGGGCTTAAGGTTCAGGACTTAGGGTTTAGGGCTTAAGGTTCAGCACTTAGGGCTCAGGGCTTAGGGTTTAGGGCTTGGGGTTTGGGTTTCAGGGCTTAGGGTTTAGGGGTGTAATATGCTACAGTCTACAGTTCCATAAGGGTTACAAGGGAATGATGTTTGTAGGTACTCGGCTTCTACATTAATGCAGGTTTTCTTGGGGAAGATCCTGAACCTCCTAAAGTAGTGACTTCAGCACCGGTATTGCTCAAGATGAGGGTACTCCCCCTGTACGCCGAAGATAGTACGTTCTGCATCCTAAGGGCCCCGAAGAAGGGGTCCATGGTTTTGAGATGTTTCGAGGAAGCACTACGAATCAACGATCGTTGAATTTTCGATCCAAGCTGTTTCGTGTCCGATTGACTTGTTATAGTCTATATCCCTGCTTGGCGCACTTAAAGCCCCCCAAAAACGATCGCCGTCTCAAGGCCCCTGCCTCAAGTCTACCTTCAGGAGTTTGAATTCATAAGCCCAAAACCTTCAGCACTGTCCCTTCATCCCGAGTTTTAGTGCCCTGAGCCCTCTAAAGTCCGAAGCCCTGACCCTAAACCCGAAACCCCAAAATCCCAATCAGTGGTTAGGCGGGTGACGTGTTCGAAGCAGATTTGGAGCTCCTCCTATACCCCAAGACGGAGGAGGTGGCTCCGGGTCCCATGAGTCAGCGGCAGGGTTTCGGGTTTTAAGGCTTGCTTCGGCTTGGAAAAGAAAATGCACACGAGATGGTTTAGGGTTTAAGGTTTAGGGGTTCGGGGTTTAGGGTTTAAAAGGGTTTAGGGTAGAGTGTTGCAAGGGAGGTGAAACTAATGGTGCCGCTGTTTGCTTTGCTGGTGTGGGCTGTCAAAGGAGATAAGGAGGCAGGAAGAATCAAATGGATAAGACAACTGAAAATGACTGGAGCTTCATAGGGTTGATACAGGTTTTCAGTATTCCAAAAATGGAGTATCAAATGGAAAAGAAGATGGAACATGACTTGGAAAGAGGAGTTACGCTTATACGCGTCAACATGAAGGCGACATGGGCAAAGCTTGTCACCCGCGCACGAAAGGATTCATGGTCAGGGTCCCCTAGCCCAACATCCCCGAAAGTCCAACAACACATCGACCCTACACCCTAAATTCTTGAATCGTAAGCCCTAAGGTGCCCAGAGCCTAGATCCTACACCTGAAAGCCTGAGGTATCCCTGATTTCTGTTTCCTACTGTTTGCATTCAAAATCCTGCGTGACCTCGCCATGCCGCACTTCGGGATAATAGCAATTACAAGGGATAATAAGGATTGTATTAGGGTCTTCCTATACTCCTATTATACCACTATTACAGGGTCCTAAGGAATTCCCAAGATCTAGGGTTCTCAGGGTCTTGCAGGAGTTTGTGCTGCAACCGGAGGTCTATTATGGGCCATCCATGCGCCTCCGTCGTTGGCTGGACATGGAACCGTGGGAGGCGAGCTCTGTCCTTCGGGTTTGGCACGTCCCGGTAGTTGTGGCTTAGGGTTTAAGGCCTAGGGTGGTACCATAGCAATATGCCAGGACCCAAATACAATATTCGTTTCTGGTTTGCGGTCATTATTAGTAATTCTCCTATTGAAGGTGCTTTAAGAGAAGTTGGCTTCTGGGTTGGGGTGTGGGGTTTTGAGAGGGAGTGACCCTCGCCCAAACCAACATGGAACCCAGCAAGGACCCCTTTCACGTGGAACAAACCCCGATTCAGGAACTAAAACCCCCGATTCGGAAACTAAAAATTCACCGCTTCGGAAACTAAAAACCTTTGATTCAGAAACCAAAAGTTCACCGATTCGGAAACTAAAATCGCCGATTCGGACACTAAGATTCCCCGATTCGAAAACTACAGATCCCCGATTCGGAAACTAAAAATCACCGAGTCAGAAATTAAACTGAAACTACTCTTCTTGAAGCCATAGGGGATGGGTGTGGGGCTTGGGGGGATGGGGGAGAGGGGGTTGAGGGGGTAATCTCTTGCATTCCGACTCAGGCGGATAGTTTACGAGTTAGGCTTTTTAGTTTCCGAATCAGGGTTTTAGTTTCCGAATCAGGGTTTTTTGGTTCCCGAATCAGGGTTTTAAGTTTCCGAATCAGGGTTTTAAGTTTCCGAATCAGGGTTTTAGTTTCAGAATCAGGGCGTGACCCTTTCACATGGCAGCAGTTCCATATTAGTTTGGGTGAGATTGCAGGCCTCATGCACAAAGACCACAACGTCACTACAGCTGCAATACAGGGAGCAAAACATTGACACTCGCGCATATCACAGACGTGGAAATTCCATTTCTTCCAAGACGGAGCTGAAGAATAGACACATAGGAAGAGAATGCTCTGCAAGACCCAATATATGCCGCTTAAATCAAGATAAAGCCCTATGCAACCATTGTAGAATCCCCTTCATATGAGGCCTTGTCTCAGGACTCCCTCAACCCCAACCCTCAACCATTTAAACCCTCAACCATTTAAACCCTCAACTATTTAAACCCTCAACCTCAACCCTTTAAACCCTCAACCCTCAAGCCCAAAGATTCTACCAAAAACCTACACCCTAAACCTTTATGTACTGAAGCTTCAAAGGTGGTCTTGCGCTCGGCTATGGACGGCCATCTGGAGGCCTTCTGTCAGGGGCAAGCAACCACATCAGGAAATAAAAGGCAGGTGCCTCTCATATGGCTAAACAAGGGGTTTAGGGTTTAGGGCTTGGGGGGGGATATTGGGTACCCAACTCCACCAATAAGGACCCCATGACTATCACATGACTCTCATCGTAAAGGATTGGGGCAACCAAAATCCTTTTAGAATCCTCTTATGATTGCCTTTTAGTCTTTGAGCATTCCTTGTACTGTCAGGGTTTCACCTGGCTTTGATTGAAGTGTTGTTGTGACCCTATGCGCATAATTGGGTTTTTGGATTCTAGAATCATTGTTGTTCTTCTTCCTTTGGTCAGCAGCTGGGGCTGCCCACTGCCCACCAAAAAGCCTAAACCCGGTTTTGTATCATTGCTGTTCCTCTTCCTATGGTCAAAAGCTGGGGCTGCCCACCACAGAGCCCCCAGTTTCGCAGATAATAGCAGTAGTAAAGTAGTGGTAATAAGAGCAACAGCAATTATAGCAATAGTACTAACAACAGTAATAACATTAGTACGAGTAATAATAGGAATAGTAATTATCGTACTAGTACCCTAAACCCTAAACCCTAAACCCCTGATAGTAATCCTCCCTGCCCTGCTGGCCTGGCAGGTGCAGGTCGTGGAAGGTTTTCTTCAGCGCAGCTATCCGCCCAGAGTGGCCGTGAGCAGCAAAGGCTGGGGTGTTTATCTAAATATGGGGATCCCCAGGATGATGCCGATTATTTTGGGAAACCCCCATGTGGGCGTCAGCGTTGCCCTGAACTTGGCGGCGAGGTCGTGCTGAATTCCGCTTCTCTATGCCAGCAGACTACCCAGGCAAGGGCTTGTCGAGTCTGCTTGCCAGGACCTTGAGAAACTTCATGATTCTTAGTAGGGAATATGGGAACACAATCCCTTTAGAACCCCTACATACTATATCCGCACATTCCGTACTAAGCCCTAAGCCCTAAACCCAACAACCAGTAAGGAAAGGGACCACAACTCCCTGTGAGGCGTGCTGCCCCTCACCATCGCGGGCGTCCAGACGCTTGCGGGCCGTCTGTGCATTTGGGACCAGGGCTGTCAGGAGCTGGGGGAAGGCCAGGACCTCAATATTTGTGTATAGGGGTAATAGAGGGATAATGGAAAAGAAAATGGAGACGACTATAGTATATAGGGGATATATTGGGATAATGGAAAAGAAAATGGAAACTAGTATAGTATAAGATAATATAATAGGGTATATATCAGGGGTATATTGGGGTTATAATGCTATTCTTACTAGTATCTTACGGTTATTGCTTTTTCATTATTTTTACTGTTTTCATTACTGCTATTGTAATTATTGATATTCGAATTTCTACTATTTTTATTTTTGGGATTATCACTATTATTCTTATTGCCAATATTTGTCTGACTGTGGCAGAGTTCCTGTGCGGTTGGCGCATGCTTCTTGAGGAGGTGACTTCCAGACTGACCACATCCCGGGGGAGGGCTTTGCGCATACCTTTAGCACCTGGGCTGCAGGGTTTAGGGTTTAGGCTGCTCTGCATCAAAATGGGAAGAACTGTAAGGACTAGTAACACTACTAATAATTGTAATAGTAGTAGTAACAGTAATAATAGCAGTGCATGACTTGTGGTTTGTATGAGGTCTGATGCCGAAGGAGTTTGGTTCAGAATTACTTTTCATCTTCGAGCAGTCCGGCCAGTGATGTGCAAGCAGGCGCGCTTGTAAACTAGGTGCCTCACTGTTTGTGCAGTGTAGCCCTTGTACTGTAGAGCATGCCAGCGCTACCACAGTTTCGCGGTTCCGTAAATTGATACCAGCAAGATGTGGTAGTTTCCATAAAAGGGGGGGACCCCAATATAGACCCCTAGATACCATCATCCTTATTGTAGGAGCCCCTATAAAGGCACCCCTAATTTTGGAAGCCCCATGTCGCTCTTTTTCTGAAGGGTGGTAATCAGTTCCGGTAGCACCTGGCCAGGCCACCACTCTGTTATGCGCAAGCAGCGGGCTGGCGCAGGTTGGGTTTCTCAGCGTGGATTAGACTGGCTGTAGGCCTGTGCTTGGTGCATTGGTGCGTGTGTTGATGGCTTTCATGGTATGAATGATGCATGAAACAGGTGGCAGATCTCCCTTTGCAAGCTTGACGTGTGGAAAGGTCTATGCTGCATGCGAACGAGCGCAAAAGCTGATGAGCTCCACGTAAAGATGTTCAGCGTGTTTGGAGATCTGCAGAAGAAGGCGTTGGGATGAGCCATGGCTGGGAAGTGCGTGGAGGCCCGCGAGGATGAGACTAGAGGTATTTGGGAGGCCAATCTCCGTACGCCGGTGTTGTGAGAAAGTGTCCAGAGCTGCTGGCGAAGAAAAGCCGAGCGTCGCCCTTAAATGAAGGCCTATTACTATTACTATTACTGTTACTGTTACTATTACTATTACTATTATTATTCGGGCTTGCTCTGTCCATGCATCGCTGCGCACCTGCTTTGCCAGCATCCAATATCTGCGAAGGTAGTTGAAAGACTCCTTTCCCACTTTCTTCAACCACCAAAGCTACTGCACAATCCAGAGCAAAGAGAAATCCAATCATACCCAACACGTGGCAACTGCAATTGTCCTCAAAGTTACCATTGCAGATTGCGCAAAGCATGCGCATAGCATAACATATAGTTCTGGCTGAAGACAATCCGCATCTCTGTTCCACTTTTCAGCTGCGCTTGGGATGTCCAGCGATAGAGACCATCCCGCACCTTCACCAGTAGTTGAGTAGTTTGATTTGGTATTTTCCAACACTTGAAGCAGCTACAAGATACGCCTAAACCGAGCTGAACCATGGCGACTAGCCTCCAACTCTAAACCCCCAACCTTCTTCAACCTCAAACCCTAAACCCTAAACGTTAAACCCTAAACCTTAAACCCTAAACCCTAAACCCTAAACTCCAAACCTCAAAACTCAAACCCTAACACCCTAACACCCAAAAGCTTGGGATCTCGAAGTCAACAGAGATCCTTCCAAAGCCTTCTGTCTGCCATGGCCACATGCTTGGCCAAGCATGCCTGGAGCTCAGGTATAAGAATATTAGGCTTCTGTTGGGGTATATTACAGTATATGTTAAAGTATACTATATTGGGGCTACATTGGGGTATATAGGTATTCTAGGGTATATCGGGGTATATGAGGGTATATTGCATTAGGGGTGTAGGGTTTATTGGTATAAGGATGGGAGTTTACAGTTGGGGGTGTAGGTTTTTAGGTTTCAGGGTTGTTCTGGGCATGGGAGTTCAGCGTTTCTCTTTTAGCTCCGGTAAGAGGTCGTGAAGACTTTCGAAAAACACTTCCTTGGGATGCTAAGCGGCCTCAGGTTTTTTGCTGTGTCCGCAGATTTTTGCTTTGGAGCCAGCTAGGGTTATAGTCCCCCTTAAGTAGATAGAATATGGGGTATATGGGGATCTTGTTATGATATACCCAAAGCCACATTCTATCTACTTAAGGGGGACAACAGGGATATTTGGGACTCCAAACCTGATGTCTGACGGCTGCAGATTCTGTGAACCTAAACACTAAACCCTAAACCCTAAACCGTGTGGTGGCCCAAGAAGACCTCTGCCTGAATGATGTGGTCAACATGCTCGCTTCTCCTGAGTCCTGGCTGCTACTACTGCTAGTTTCACCTATATAGCAGGGAATATCAGAGTACAGAAGAGGGTTTAGGGTTTAGGGTTTAGTGTTTAGGGTTGAAGCGCAGCTGTCAGCCAAGTACACGCAGAACGCACAGGGATGGCCCCTGCAGCCAGGGACACATGTAGGCTAATCGGACCTTTTAAAGTGCGAGTCTGACTTCTCGTGCTCCTCAACTTGGGGTCTTACACAGTCACACGGTGCGTGAGATATGGTAGTTGATGGAAAATCCTGATCCAAACTTGACATTGTAGAGAATCATTTCCCCTTTTTTGCCCTTATGGACCTAGCCTACAGGAACCTAAATACTTTCCCCTAAACCCTAAACCCTAAACCCTAAACCCTAAACATCAACCCCTACACGGGTTCTGAGTGTTGACGGTCACTCAGGCGTCGGATGTGCTGAGGGCCTCTCAACTCTGCCGCCTCCTGCCGAGGCCAGAAAAGTTATAGGGGGTTATAGGGTTATAGGGTTATAGGGTTTAGGGTTATAGGGTTATAGGGTTATAGGGTTCAGGGTTATAGCGTTTAGGGTTTAGGGTTATATGGGAGACAGTAGGGGTTTTATGGGGAATTATACCGGGAAAACATGATGAACCTTTGTTCAGGTCACTCTCAAACAGTGGGGGTCGGACGGAGTTCTTACAATTGAATTGGACAACATGTTGGATGACCAGCTTCAAGACTCTCCCCAACCCCAGCCCCAACCCTAAACCCCAAACCCTGCGCCCTAAACCCTACACCCTCAACCCTAAAACCGAAATCCCGAGCCCTGGGGACACGCCCAGGTAAGGCCTGCTTCAGGCCTCCCATGTGAAGGTTTCTGACCCTGAGAACTTCCATGCGCATGAGTATCTCTAGTAGGGCTGATATTCCTTCGTTGAGGGGTAATTTGGTCTCCCTGGGGGTTCCTTGCCAGGTTGGGCCCTCTGCAGACTGGCAGCCGAGGCGCCTTTCTCGAAAGTCTAGTGGCTTTTGGCCCTGTGGGGGATATAAGGGAATATAGGGGAATTAGGGGGAAATATGCAATATGGGGATATTGGAAAAGAACATGGAAGCTACTGTTTGGGGTTTAGGGTTTTTGTGGGGGAAAGCTCCATAGTTGCACGTAAGCCCTATCCTCTCCAAGTTAATTCAGCATGGAGATTCCTGGCGAGTTTTTTGAAGTGTTCTTTGAAGGAGCCCTAAAAGAAAGGATCCTCACCATCCTGTTATGCTGCCTTTCTTCCCGAGTGACCCTAGGGGCAACTCATTGCAAGAACGTTAGTGCAAGAATTACCGTTCGGGAAAAGTTTTAATCTGAGACGCTGCGAGCCTGATGGGGGCAGGTTTCGTGGGTGCAGCCAGAACGCAAGATGCCGAGCACTCAGCATTTCTTTGCAGGAATTGATTTGTAGAATGATTTCAACAGAAGGGCTTTGACAGGGACGCGGTGCCTTTCTCGTTTGATTCCTGATAGATATGTTGCAGGGCATTGGTGCAATCGCGTCCAAGCATCCTGCATTCTGTCAATTCATTCCTGCAATTTAAGGAATGAGAGGGAGGCGTAGATCGTATTTCTAATTCTGCAGGCGTAGATGACATGCGCGCTCCCTAATTTGCCTGTTCATGCCTACGATTTTGGATGTTGCTTTTGCCATGCATACATGCTGAATATGTTTACTGTTTTTTTCTGCTGCCTGCTATCATGAAGTCTTGCCGGCCGATTTGCATGCTACCAGTGGAAGCGCTTACAAGCCTAAGCTCTAGGACGTAAGACCTAAATCCTACGTAGAGCCTGCGCGCCAAACCCCTAAACACATGAGCCATTATCTAAACTCCGTAAAACTAATTATAATGAAAAGGGGCCTTTTTCGGGCCTATTCAGGGGGATACTAGGAGTTCCTACTATAGCTCACATGCTTTGTGTCCGGCCTGCGTCCCACAGGCCACCACGCGCCTCCTCGCACCTGCCATGGCGCAAAGGCTGCGGGTGGCCTCAGACGACCCAATCAGTGTCGGGAATATCGGGGTAATTGAACCAAAGCAGATCCAATTTTGATGCATTTCGACCTCCCTAATCGTCATTGTTTGAAGTAGTGCTCACTCACCCCAATATACTATAGTAGTTTCCATTTTCTTTTCCATTATCCCAATATAACCCCAATATACTATAGTAGCAAAGGGCACAGATTGTGAGCGCAAGGCGCTCGCGATTGGTTCGGATGTCATCTTCAGGCCCCTCAACTTGACCATGGAAAATGCGTTTGTGTTCAGTCGCTTCAAGCTGCCCTGCAAGAGGAGGCGCGTTTTGCCAATATAACCCCAATATACTATCGTAGTTTCCATTTTCTTTTCCATTATCCCAAGATAGACCCAATAAAACCCCATAATAATCATCACAGAAGTAGCAGGAGCAAGGCTCCTGGCTCCTCAAGTAGTCTTGGGTTTAGGGTTTAGGGTTTAGGGTTTAAGGTTTAGGGTTTAGGGTTTAGCCCAGATCTTCGTGATTGGTCGTCTTGGTAGGTTTGCGCGTCGTTTTTGCCAAAGAAGGGGTCACCTCATGTACTCCCCAACTTCCGTGGTAATGCAGAAAAAAGCATCCCAGCAAAGGGACCACACATTGTCTGGAAATCCCTGTATCTCCCATATTCCCCATATTCTATCTACTTAAGGGACGCTATAACCCTAAACCCTAAAGCCTAAATAGTAGTTTCCATTTTCTTTTCCATCATCCCTATATAACCGTAATATAACCCTAAATATAACCCCTTCATAACCCCAAAATAACCCTAACATGACCCCTATATAACCCCTATATAGCCCCTATTGGAGGGATTTTTAGCTTGCTGAGGCCTAGGCCGATGCTCGGCTATAGCCCACCGACAGGTAGCCAGACAGCCACTTGGCCAGGGAAGAAGGAAGATATTAGCCCAAATAGGGGTTATATAGGGGTTGTATTGGTGTTATTAACCCAATGATGAAGAATCGAATGGAAAAGAACATGGAACATGAGGATAATTACCCATATTAACCATTTTTGAGATGGAAAGTTCTGTAGCGGCAGCAGTGGAAGTTGTTACAGAAGTAGCATCAGCAGTAGCAGTAGCTGCAGCAGGATCAGCGACATCATCCGCGCTAGGAAAAGCACGAGCAGTTTGGTCAACGCAGATCCAACGACTACTAGACTAGATCCTCGCCAGTTCCAGAGCTACCATTGTGGTCACTTCTGCTCCACCTGCTGCTGTTGTCACCGCGAGTCGTGCTAGCAGGACTTCACTGATGTTGTGTGCTTCTAGAATCTAGAATCATTCATGCTACCATCCTACGGCCTCCTGGTGCTGCTAGTAGAGGTCTTTGAAAGTCTTGGGGTTAATTGAGTACGGAGTTCCCCAACCTATGCTGTGTCCAGATACATCTTGATTCCCCTCCTACTTCAGTTGCCCAAGGATGACATAGATGGATCCTAGCATCCTAGCACTCAGGGGCCATTTGATGCCACAGAATGCTGGCCCGCTTCATATTTGGAGCCCACCCAAAATGGGCCGCTCAAGTTTGAGAATCGAGCGCGTTGCAGTTTTTTTGCTGCTGTTGCTGCCTCAGGTGCTGGGCCCAATGGCGCAGCAGGCGAGCTGGTTTACGGTCTGGGGTTCATACAGGGCCCGAAAACCCTTAGACCCCGAACTGTAAACCGGTGCGTCTGCCCTTCCCCCTCAGAGGTTTGATAAGATCATCGGTTGCTATTGGGAGAGGATTCGATTCTTGTTGCAAGTGAATAGTGGCCTGTGTCCCGTGTCGGCGCTGTTCGGGAAGTGAAAGCTGTGTTTCGTTGCACTTCAGTCCAGCCTGATGTACTATGCTACCTTAATATCCCAGACCTTTTTCTCATTCCCCTTGTGCCCCCCTTAAAGATCTGAAAGACTGTCATTTGGGCACATGCCCCATTGAAGGAGTGCCCAAACTGTCCTTCATTTGCGGCCGACCGAAAAAAGATAGTCCCGACGTTCATCCTTGAAAGAATCTACCAAGTTTGAGGCACTTCATACACTAATGTTCGTTAAGATTTCAAGATACCCTATGTATCCCTAAAGATCCCATATGCTTCCCAAAAAGGAATAGGGGCATCCCAATAGATTCCAACATATTGCAACCCCTCTTATGGGGACCCCCAAAATGGTATCCGTAATTTCAGGAAATCCTAATCCTCACAAAGCCCTTATATGATCCCTTCAATTCCCTTTGTAATCCCTATAGTGCCTGCACAACCCTTTTATATTCCCCATACAATCCCTATGTGATCCCTATAAGTAGATCCCATATTCCTTTCCCTCAGTGCGTATCCGATTTTTCGAGGTGCGCTTCGCTGGAAGAAAGCTGGGCCTGAAGCGGAAGAGGAAAAATGTCACATTGGCACGCTTTGATTGCATTGGATAATCGAAAAGAAGCTGGAAACTATTCTAATAGTATCATAGGTCGAAAGGGAAATTTGTCACAGTCCCGCGCCTTGAAAGCAAGCCTCCACGTATTCTTCCTGGAATTAGTAGGGCATGCGGGAATAAAGTACATAGGGATTACACTCCCTCATTCTCTATTAACCTCCAGTAAGTATTGAGATTTAGTGAGATTTCTTCGGGGTTGTATAGGGTTCATCTTGAGGTTCTCTGGTTTCTTGAGGTATTTCACCAGGGTCCCTCATCCATCCCCACATGGCCTCAGAACCCATATAGGGATGGCTGGCAACCATCTTAGTCATCACCACAGGGCCGAGCGGGGTGAAGCCCAAGCCCATCCCAGCGGAAGAGAATGTCATCGGATGGGGGAGAAGCTCTCAATGTGTGCGGACTCCACTTTATTTTACATTATCCCTATATAACCCCAATAGACCCCTATATAACCCTATATAGTAGTTTCCATTTTATTTTCCATTATTCCTATATAATTTCGGGTATAATCCCTATATACCCACCAGCGGCTTTAAAGATTGGCTGAAGCTCCAAGGAGACCCTAAGTGCGATCTCTCAATACTCGGGGGCCGCACACCGCGCCCCCAACCCCAAGCCCAAAACCCTGAACCTCAAACTTTTGTCGTCTGCCTTTTTTTGCGGTTTCTGGAGATGGTGGGCCTTGAGGGATCCTGGAGATATATAGGGATTATGAGAGATATCGGGGATCCCGCCCTTAGAATTCTTTGGGGGTAACACCCGTAACGATAATCCTTAAGCCCCAAAATTGAAAATCTTCTCTTTCGGCCAGTCTCGGCCGCGAACGGTGCACCAGAAGGCAGACGATAGCTTTTTATCGGGTTGCTTTGGAAGGAAGTGATGAACATTAGTTGTTTTTTGGTTGCCGGGGGTCCTCGCAACGAGGCGGACATTATATCGGTGGCGAAGAAAGGGTTCCCTATTTGTGAAATCAATGCAGGGTTTTAACATCAACAGTATTGGAGGCTGCCTGAGATTCTTGGGTCGACATAAGGCTTGTTTCAAAGTGGTATCTGATGTCCCTCTCGTTGGCAGAATACGTGCGCTTGTTTCTAGGTCTAATCACGCGTTCCATTCTGGAAACATCTGGAAACGTTAGATTACTTCAAACTCCTCCTGATCCGATTGTAATGGCGCCCGTATGATCTTAAGGAATCAGAATATGGGTTGTTCTCAAAATTAAGTGCCCCTTCGTGGTTATATATAGATTATAATCTGGCACCCAATATCTATTTAGGGATACCAAAATGGGACCCTAGTTTGGGAACCACCCATATGATTCACAGTCTTCAGGAACCTAAAGCCAACCTCTAGCAAAGGGGCCTAGGGTTTAGAGTCGGAAGCAGGATGTGTCGTTCACATTGTTGATGGACAAAATCACCAAACTGCCAGAGTGCCTAGGGTTTTGTTTGCGTAGAGTCATGCCGAATTTTGTCCTCGCTTTTTCAGGACTTCCAACTACCAATGCTTCTTGCTCGAACTGATGATGGCAGGGGCATTGTAGCCATATCAACACTTAAACCACTAGAAATTGCAAGGATGCAACAATGCCTTGAGCTTTTGCCCCTGTGGCGTTAGATTTTTCGGGGGATTCGTATATACTTGCAAACGTGTGGCGTACGCAGGGCCTGGGAAAGCGGATGGAGATGTACTGGCCGCAGCATGACATGCACCGAACGCGGATACCGATGCTGTGACCTCAGACCATTCGTCTTCAGCGGTCAGCGTTCCTGTTCATCATGTGTGTGGAACAGCACGCAAGCAAAAGAGTACTGCCAACAGATCTGCCGGAACCTGCAGCGCCACCATAATGCCGAGGTATGAAAACAGCAGACGCCATGCCAGAAGCCTTGATCAGAGGGCAGTAGACTGGCAAGCTGCAATGTTGTCGAATATGTGTGCGGGTAGTCCTGACTTGCCCGGGTTTACCAGTTTGTGTAACCAACAGGCTTCCCATAGCAATGATTGTAAGAGCTGTGCTGCTTAAGATAGAGTTGTGCCGCTCCGCCCTCCTCTTGAGAAGCTGCTTCCTCGTTCAACATGCTGCTAAATACTACCAGTGCCACTACGGCTACGGCTATGGCTTAGACTTCCGGCGGCAGGGACGGCGAGGACACCGCAATGACCACTGCTGACAGTCAACCACGAGCGACCGTAACGGACGCCGACGAGCGACCACGAGCGACCACGACCAACGGCGGCCGACGGCGACCGACAACCAACAACAACAACCATCGTTGCGACCATTTGCTACTGCAGTACAGTTCACAGTACCATGTCAACTACGACGACCCCAGCAGTAGTAGCACCACCACTGCTACTTTCGCTATTATTCTCCCTGGTTTGCAGCATGAGTTCTTCAAAGGTAATCTGGGATTACCGCATGCAGAGATGGATGGCCTTTGACTCAGCCAGCTTCAGGGACCCAAAGAGTTGTGTATTCTGTTGTCAACGTTACTTCAAAAAAGGGGGATTCCTAGGATTAATACAGGTAGTAGTACGAATAGATGTGCTTCATTTTTGAACTTGAATCGTTTGTGTTGCTCGAATTTGTGGGTTCGGGGCTCGTAACATGTGGACTTGGAAGAAGAGTCACTTAAAACAGTCGGGTCTTGAACATATTCATTCAGATGTACGGTAAAAACAGGACCCTCCTTTCAGGTCATGCTTGTAATTGCCAGGCTCCTGCAGCCCGGCTACACCCTAAACCCATCTTAACCCGAAACCCCAAACTCTGAACCATGAATCTTTAGCCTGCAGCTGCAAATCCCGAATCCTAGCCCCAAGCTGCAACCTTAGCAGGGCAGCTCTAGAATCAAGAGCCAAAAAGCCCTTCAACTCGCAGTATGGGTTTAGGGTTGATGGTTTCAATCACGGAGCTCAGAGGGATTGCTTTCACGATCAATTTGCATGATGCCCCCTTGCTCTGACGTTTGTGGAACTGCTCGGCCTTTAGGACATGTCATGCCCCTGAACCTCAACCGTAAATCCCAAACCCAATCCCAAAGCCTAAGCCCTAATCCCTGTAACATACGTACCCTAACCCCTCATCACCAAACCCCAAGCCACATACTCTCCCCGAGCCTTTCGACCCGAGGTGATGTGGTACCGCCAGGGCATTCAGGCGACTGGCGCCAGTTTTCTAGAGTAGTAATCTCAAATGAGCTTCCGTCTAAACTCCTTGAAGGGGGGTATATAGGGGATCATATATAGGGTTCCGATTCTAGGGCTTATTAAGGGAGATACTAGGAGTTTAGACAGATTATCCCCGTGGCAGGCCCTAAGGAGTTTAGACTATAGCTCAAACAGGGAAGCACCCTGGTTTGGAGTCTTGGGTTCAGCTTGTTCAGTTAGACTATTTGTTCTTCGAGGTTGCAGTCGTGTATACAGAGAACGTAAACCTATGGGGCTCGCCCAGCAAAAGCAACACCACTTGACTAACCTGGCAATGGCCACCATGCGGACAGACCTAGACAAGGCAATTTCAGTTCGAATTTGACATCACCAGCACGCGGAGTTGGGATTCATTCTTGCGATTACTATCATTGCTCTTATCTACGCCCCTACGTAAACCCTTCAGGCAGAACGTGACATGGTGCCTTTTCAAGCCGCCTAGATGTGACACAATTTCGAGCGCGTCTGTGAGGTCTTTCGCTGGTTCAGCGGCCGAGGGGGCAAGTTTGAGCAAGGTGCAGTCGGAATCAGCATCTGATGTTCTTGTGGTTGTTGATCTTGCATGGCTGAACCCTTAGTATTCTCTATAAAATTGGCTAGAATAGCCCCTATGATCCACTGCACATCTCCTGGAGCATCCCAGAATATCGGACCACGGGTGTGCACTCTCAGTGAGACCCTCACGCCTCGCTATCCTCCCTGGTGCTTGGTAAAAAGGAGGCAATGGTTCTACAGGGCCTGTATGGGGTTATATAGGGATTATATAGGGTTAAACAGGGGTTATAGAGGGTTGTTGTACTGGAGAAGCACACGGAGGATCAAATGACACATGCCATGGATACTGGGGTTTATAGGTAGGTTTGTAGGATTTGATGGGGACTGCTGTAGGGGTCCATCCCTCCGCTACTACTCGGACCATCCCCGAGGCTCCCCCGAAGCTTTGTTAGGGCTTACCGTTTGGGGTTTAGGCAGCCGACTGTTAAAGTCATGCTTCTTAATGTCATGTTTGCAACCTGCTGGTAAAGTATTGCTTTCGCTACTGATGTGACTAAGGTTGCCATTGCTACGACTCGTGTCTTTTCTTCGCATGTAATATGTTGGGATCCTTCCCTTATTCCAAACTGCGCTCAAGCAGTCTTGACAAGAAGTCTGTTGGAGTAGCTCGAGATAACGACTCGCTTTGCACAGTGTTACTAGGGATATCTGAAGAGGTATGTATAGAACTATATTATCAGGCAGGTGTCAAAGACTAGGCCCTACGTGTCCTTCAGCAGTTTCTGCAGCCTTGGCATCAGGGCGAACGCGGGCTATCCTCTTCTACCAGCAGCTGCGGAACGCAGGCGCCAAAAGTCAAAACATTGGAAGGACAGCAATACTAACCCGGAGTCTAATTTTCAATGGTAGCAACAAACATTTGCGGAATAGTGCTAGTAGCAGCTGTAGCGGCCTTAAACCCTAAATCCTGTCCTAAACCCTAAAACCCCTAACCCCTCAACCGTAAACCTTAAACCCTAAACCCCTCAATCTTCATGAAGCCCTGTCGCTCAGGGAAGTTGGGAAGCCCCAAGCCCGACCAGTGTCGAAGCGGGGTTCGCGGTGTTTTCTTCGACAAGGAGGCTGGTGAGCGTCCTATGCGTATCTCTGGGGTTCTTCATGGGTGGTTGTCAAAATGATGGTCCCTTTTTGGGTGCCCTAAATATTAGGTGCCGTATTATAATAGGGGCCCAAAAAGGGACCATAATTTTGACAACCACCCACATGTAGATTTAGGATTTAGGATTTAGGGTATAGGGTGTAGGGTTTAGGGATGCGCGGGATTGTCTCGGGTCATTCATATAGGGGTTGTTGAGGGATATTACCCTGATAACGAAGCACGCAATGGAAAAGAACATGGAACATGCAAAGCGGCCTGGGCTCATAGAGGGGCTAAGGGCAGTGCTTTGTGGGGCGGATGGGGGAGGGTGGTACTGGAATTCCCCCTGTATCTGCCTGCAGACGTACTAGAGATTAATGGAGGTTCTCAATTAGGGTTGGTTTCATCAAAAAGAATATCATCCCTAGTAGAGGGACTAAACCCTAAGCCCAAAAGGAAAGGCCCTGACCTTTGGCTTGCTCCTCAGGTAACCCAGGCAGGGACAAACGAGATACCTAACGAGCCTATCCTGTGAACACAGGAAATGACAGGTTGTTCCTTGAGTTTCCCTACCTATGAGCAATTATTCCAAGTAATCACACTTCCCTCTTATATGAAAAGCATCCCTGCCCATTCCTGATATGTATATCCTGACTGTTTTAGGAACATTCAGGGGGACTTTGATAGTTCCAAGGAAGGTTTTGTCTTGTGGTAAGTACACCCTAAACCCTAAACCCTAAACTGGGTTGGTTAAAAAAAAAACCTAAATCCTAAACCCTAAATCCTAAACCCTAAACCCTAAGCTAAACAAATGCTAAAACCCCTGTACCCCACGGGTTGCCTTTGGCCTTGTCTCAGGAGAAGTCTTGGGTGGCTCGCTGGAGTAACTGTGGCATGAAGACCTATGCCATGTTCAGCACTGAGGCAGACTGGATCATTGTTTAGGGTTTAGGGTTTAGGGTTCTGAGAGGGAGAGAGAGAAAGAGAGAGAGAGAGAGAAGGAGTGACTACGCACCCTTGTAGAAGACAGGATACAACTGATACCCTACACCCTAAACCCTGTTCAGACGCTAGCTTTTGCAAAGCATGTCGGCTGCTGCGACTGCTGAGCTATGCTTCGCTTCTGCACCATTTCTAAAAACATTAAAACCAGAAGTACAACAAGTCCTCTCTGCCAGTTGAATTGAAAATTGGGTAATATCCCTATACAATCCCTGTATATTGTGGTCTCGATGTAATTTTTCCATCTTCTTCTCCAGTTGTTTCTCCATTATTGGGGTAACATCGGGAGCCCCAAGTCTGCCGGGAAATCTGAAACACTGAGCCCCCGAACCGTGTCCGCTTGCGCCGCAGGAGCTGGGTTTTCGCAAAGCGTACGAGGAAGCTATTCGTGTTCGCGTGCAGAGTGTGCCCCACTTGGGCCTGGTTGAATGCAAGTGTATAATTGTAATAATAGTAAGGATAGGAATATTAGCAATAATAGTAATAATCGGTTTAGGTTTAGGGTTTATGGGGGTTCCATCCAATACTTCTGGCCTGGATTTTCGTACGCTTCGCGCCTGAAAGAACCAGTAAGATGAAGGGTGACTGGTGTTGCCATGCTTTCTTTATATAGAGGTTATATAGGGGTTATATAGGGGATATATAGGGGCTATCTAGGGGTTATAATGGAAAAGACAATGGAACGTGTAGGAATTATAGGGACTATAGGGCTTATATAGGGTTTATGTATTGCCCCAGGTGCGGCAGAACCATCAGTTCATGTCTGGCACTTAGTGAGAAGCAGCGCATTTTGGGGTGGTGTAGGGCAAGATCCTTTGAAACAAAGCCGATGCAGCTCCTTTGTGAAGCTACGATCCATATCATGGGGCTAGAATCTGACGAGCAAGTGAGCGCAACGAAATGGAAGTGAAAACGTGCCCGTCACCTATATACCCAGGGTTTAGGGTCTCTGGGGTTTGGGGTTACCCAACATGGCCCTATATGACCCCACTTTCCATTTCATTTCCCATTCTCTTTTCAATTTTAATCTCCATTACATAGGGTACTATCCCAAAATAATCCCTACATAATCTTTATATAACACTTATAGTAGTCCCCTCATACGTGAGACACAAATAAGACCTGTAGTACTCCCGTATATACCCCAACATAAGTATATATCCCTACATAACCCTATATATCCCTATACATCCCCATATAGCCCTGTATAACCCTGTAGAACCCTGTATAACCTCATCCCCAGATGCCTTGAGGTTTCAGCGAACCCGATGGAAGGGACAGAGGCGACCTCTCGGACAGCCTCACACCTGAGCGTAACAGCGGCAATCACCATACTCATAGCGGTTTAGGGTTTAGGGGTTTAGGGGTTTAGGGTCTAGGGGCTTAGGGTTTAGGGTTGAGTGTTTGGGTCCATTCAATTCCCCCACCACTGACTATCCTTAAAGCAGGCTCTAATAAGGAGCTATTTGCTTGTCTTGGTAACTGTTACTGTAAGGGGGAATGACCCAATAAGACTAGTGATAAGAGAAAGAACAGCAATAGTAGTGTTCATAGTAAGAGTAGCTGTAGTAGCAATCATAATAATATACATAGCAAAGTGTGGTGCTTCCCGCCAACTGCGGCCCTACCCAAGCATCACAAGAGCCAGTCAACTGTAATGTACAAGCCTGATCAGTCATCGATAATACTACCTAGCAGTCCTGATACGTAATAGACCCCCAAACCCTATTCCAATTGATTGGGTTCCTCCGCTACACATGCTCATTGAGCAGCTTTCTCGCTAGATTCCAACCGTGGCGAATGCCAGTGCCTCTCAAGTGGCCTGAGCTTCGTTGTGCGGAAAAAAGCAACGCAAGCTGCGCTGCCCTCGTGGATGTTGCCAGCGAAAGTGTGCAAGCCCGTACAATTCGTAAATACCAACCCCCCCCCCCGTTTCCACTCCATTATCCCCATATTATTCCAATATACTATATAGTAGTTTTTCTTTTCCGTTATCCCCTTATTTCCCACATAATCTCCATGTAGCCTTGAGCCTGCATACCCCTGTAACCCCCACCATAAGGCCATAAGGGCCTTCATTCCTTCCATAGTGCTTCTAAAGGGATCCCAGAGTTTAGAGTTCAGAGTTTAGGGTTTAGGGTTTAGGCTTCAGGGTTTAGGGTGTAGGTTCCCAGAGTTCAGGGTTTAGGGTTTAGGTTTTAGGCTCCCAGAGTTCAGGGTTTAGGTTGGGTCATTCCGCATTGCAGTAACTGTCCTTCAACGGGTCTCGTTAAGAGGCTGTTGTAACTCATAGTAACTCTTGTGGTAGCTGTGAATGTAAAGGGTGAATGACGCAAGGTTGAGGGTTTAAACCAATACAGGGATGATAGAGGAGTGTATGTTGGGTCAATCCCCCACCCAGTAGTGGGTATAATGTAGGTATATTAAGGCCTTAGCAATCCCATATTAAGGAGCTATTCTTATAGGGGTGTCTGTCCCATCTTGGCAGCGGCTTTCGCTGCAGTGCGCGGTTGCCCTGCCAATAAGACGTCAAGCTGTTCTGCTCTACGACTTTGCTTTGGTGCAAACTTTATGATCCGAACATTTAGATTCAAACTCTGAATACAAGTTTCCATTTTCTTTTCCATTCCATATTTACGCCTATATAATTTCCATAGAACCCTACATATATATATATACATAGAATCCTTTTGAGGGGAGAGCAGAATGTTGTCACTTTCCAAGTAGGCAGTTCACTCTGAACCCTTCCGCTTGCCTGGCTGCCAGCGTTCGCGTAGGGGAGCCTAGCGTGCGCAACCCTTGGGGTAGTTTCCATAGATAAGGGACCTCAATACGGACCCAAAAAACAAGTATCCTTATTATGGGGACCCCAAAATGGTACCCCGAATCTCGGAAAACCCTAATCCCTAAACCCTTTAAACCCTATGTAAGCGCTCTATACCCCCATATAACTATCACCCCATAAACCCCTTTGAAGGTACTCTCAAATTTGGGAATGTCAGCTAGAGGCACGATCATTGTTATGAGTTTCTGGGAGCGCAGATGCTTCAGTCCAACGCATGGCTTGTCTTTCTTGAACGCGGTTTAGGGTGTAAAAAAGATCGAATCAACATAGGAAGGTTACACGTGCTGCCGGACTTCTGCATACTTACCACAGGAATGAAGTGATCCTACCACTTCCTGTGTGATGCTCTTATTGGGGTAATATCCCTATATAATATAGCTAAGCCCTGTATGATCCCTACACAAACCATTATGTAAGCCCTATACAGACCCCTATATGTACAAACAAGTTATTTTCGATATGTTGACCGTATATAATTCCATATAACCCCTACATAACCCTCCCATATCCCTATACCTTATACTCCGAGACCCTAATCCTAAACCCTAACCCCCAAACCCTAAACCCTAAACCCTAAACCCCAAACCCTAAACCCCAAACCCCCAAACCCCTAAACCCGAAACCCCTAAACTCTAAAACACAAAACCCTTGTGAGCTCTACAAAGTACACCTGAAGCCGAAGAGTTGAGCCTCGCCATGGCTTTAGGCTGCAGATCCCTGGACCTTCCGGAGGATGGCTCATCTTAGAATCGAGGGTTTAGGGGTTTGGGGGTTTAGGGTTTAGGGGTTTAAGGGTTTAGGGTGTAGGGGTTCAGTGTTTAGGGGTTTAGGGTTTAGGGGTTTAGGGTTTAGGGGTTTGGGGTTCTGGGTTTAGGGTTTGAGGGTTTTAGGGTTTTAGGGTTTAGGGGGTTCCGCCTCACATAGGGCTACATGGGTTATATAGGGGGTGTTCAGGGTGTGGGGCTTAGAATTCAGGATCAAAAAGGGCTATATGGGTCTAGTGGTTTATGGCGTTATATAGGGATTATATAGAGTGTAGAGCTGTGATTCTGACTACCGATTTGCTGGCAGCAGTCGGGGTCATTGTCGTGGCGGTGGCTGTGGCGGCGGCGGTGGTGTGTCGTTGTCTTAGTGGGAGTAGCAGGCGCAATAGCAGCCATAGCGGGCGGAGCATGATCGTCATTTTGCTACAAGACATCATAGGACCATAATAGGACCATATGGTTCTGATTGTTCTCTCTTGAGGACAGCCATATGCACTACGGTGATGATGAGACGCAGGCTACGTGGGTGGGTTTTCAAAGACATGCTGTGCTTGTTGCCGGGCATGCAGATCCAACTCAGCTGGACTTGGTTGTGTCAGTCTGCATGTGTATGTGCTTCGAATAACTCACGGCAGCGCAGCATTTTCTCTTCCATTATCCCTATATAACACTATAGTGCCTATATTGCCCTATATTACCCTATACTGTCCCTGTTTGATGACTTGAGTATCTCAAAATGCCGACGCCCTTCACGAGCGTGGGGATCTTGTCTTGCCCTTCACGGAGCTGAAAAGGTTTAGGCTTTATAGGGTTTAGGGTTTAGGGTTTATAGGGTTTAGGGTTTAGGGTTTAGGGTAAAGCTTTGCTTGTTGTGCAGGGACTGCCAAAAACAGTGCTCCCCGCAGAGTTTCAATCTGACTTCAGCGTATTCCGTTTGCCCAAGTCCTGGGTATTCTATTGGTACTTTCCCAAAATAGGGGGACCCCCATATAGACCCCAAAATACTATAGTGCTTATTCTAGGGACCCCCCAAAAATGTATCCTCAATTTTTGGGAAACCCCCTATTTTCTCTGGACCTCGAAAGCTGAGCTTCAGAATCTCACCCCAACTTAGACTTTGAGGCTGCACACCGCTTTGAAGTCAGGACAGCTAGACCCCCACCCCCTCAACATCAAATCTCCCGCTAGTGGCATAATATGATTAGTATATTCAGAAGATTTGAAGGCAGGAGTTGGGGTAAACTTCCTCTGAACCCTAGAAGCCCCACGCTTAAAGCCTTGCACGCCATGCGCTGGCGTGTAGCCCTGGCTGCTTTGGCATCAGCTGCGGGCTTTACCTTGACAAGCCGCTCGCCAAAAAAAAAATGGATCCATTCTTAAGCCTGCCAAGCCCCAATGTGTAGAAATCCGAAAATTTGATACTGATACTGGAGATCTTTATGTTCGCGCGGTCGTTTGGTCTTTGCAGTCTGCAGTGTTAGCAGCATGCTCTGTGCAAGCAGCAAGGACCGACATTTCTAACAATGCTTCTACTGCAGGGAGCACAGTGGTTGCAGGGAGTTTATGGTAGTTCCCCAAAATAAGGGGACCCCAACATAGACCCCAATATACTACAGTCCTTATTATGGAGACCCAAAAAGGTACACCTAGCCTTGTGAAATTCCCATATTAGGGCAAGTTCCAAATTCGGGTTTGAGCTCTCGATCCCCAAGGGCAAAAGGTGCTGTGTAATCACCACTTCTTTTAAGAATAGACCAGATGGGCACATTCCATGAAACTTCATAGTGAAGCCTCGTGCTACATCCATTGTTTCTGCATGTTTCTGCGACTGCTTCTACGATTAAAAGATTGATCAAAACTCTGACGACGGCGGCTACGAACAAGAAAAAAGACAATCTACTGTCGATGTCTGTGGGAGGATAATGAATGGGGGCCCTACATCCTAAGCCCTATACCCTAAACCACAACTATACTCTCTGGTTCCTCATGAACACCGGTCATGCTTACCAGGGGTCTCTCCCAACACGTGGACCCCTGAGGCAGTAGGGGCTTGCCGTGGATTCGGGATACCATAGGGTAATATAGGGTTCTATAGAAATAACGGAAAAGAAAATGGAAACTACCACAGGTTATATAGGGGTAATGTTCGGGTTATATTAGGGATAATAGAAAAAACCTGCTTTAAAAAGCTCCCGAGCCTCCCCCCCATGATCATAAAAGCTGAGGCCAGGCGTCTTGCAACTATTCCAGCATCTACCCGGAGCAGCAGCCAAGCAAAACGTGGCTGCGGTACCCAGGGCTAAGGGCCCATATAGGGTTTAGGGTTTAGGGTTATACTAGCATACTTCTAACCGTAGAGGTTGGGTTGCGATTAGCATACTGTACCCTTCATTTGTCATTCCCCATTTTGGACAGCACTTTTGACAAACTCCAATGTCCTAAGCCCAAAATCACCGAGGTGCTTGGGAGCTTCCCAAATAGTCCTTAGACCCCTAGAAGCTCTGCTTAATTTCCACATAGTCCTAGGTACTACTGATTTGAAAAACTTCTCCTCCGAAACCCCAAATCACCAAGGTATGCCCCTTTAATCCTAGACTTATTGGTTCCTAGTAGGGAATATGTGAATATATCTTATAGGGATTATAGAAGGATTATAGTCCCTTATTCCCTACTACGAACCAGCAAGTAGACCTTGAGCTCCGACCCCTTAAACCCCAACCCCTTACAACCTCTGCATCACCAAGGTTGTGTTCCCTAAAAGTTTAGGGTTTAGGGGTGCGGTTTTGGGGGTCCCCATGATAAAGAATATAGTATATTTTTGGATTTTTCCCCATTTCTGGAAGGTACCAGGTATGTTGCCCCCCAAGCCGGAAACCTTTAACCCTAAACCAGCCCGAAACCCTAAACCCTAAACCCTAAACCCTTACCAGGTATGTTGTCTACAAGACCTCAGAGTTGTCCCCGGACAGTCTCAGCGGAGACTTGACGAAGAAGGCTTGGGAGGAGGTTGCCTGGACCAAGGACGGAGTACGGTTTAGGGTTTAGGGTTTGGGGTCAGGGGGACGTAGTAAGTAGGTTAATAATGAGGATAAGTAGAGTTACTATATGGGTTATAGGGGTTATTAACCTACTTACTAAGTACCCCCAACCCTCCAAGTAGCCTAGGGTTTTAGGGTTTACATGGGTTATATATGGTTCAGGGTTTAGGGTTCAGGATTTAGTGTTTAGGCTTTGGGGTTTTAGGGTTTATATGGGTTATATAGGGCTTATATACGATGTAGGGATATTGCTCCCATAGAAGGGTTTATATGGGTTTAGGGATATTACCCCGATAATGGAGAACCAAATGCAAAAGACAAGGGGACATGAAATGGAAGCTGTGGCTCAGGGTTTCAGGGTTTCAAGTGAGATGCACAGTGGGACTGCAAAGGACGGTCATCGTGATCGCTGTACTTGTGTTGACGGGTTCTGTTAGCAGTGCTTCACCACGAGATTCTCAGGTTGCCATGTTCATCCTATGCAGGACTTTGTTGACATCTCCACCCACACGAGGCCGCCTCTGCGAACTCGGGCCAAGATGCGCTGGGATGACAGGCAGGCTGCGAGCAGGATTGCTGGCTGCTACTGCTGCAGTCACAATGACAAATAGAGTTTTCATGCAAAGCCCCAGTGGCTGAAGGTTCCTCTACGTGGGCGCCGAGCTCCAGGAACCTCAGCCCTGGGCTACGCTGACGAAGCACGACAGCGTGATTTTTCAGGCAAAGCCGCGGGCAGGAAATAGGAGTCGTAGCAGCGCTGACAGCGACACGTTCAAGCCTGTCTGCAAGCAGGGGGTTCCCACATGAGCTATAGTCTAAACTCCTTAAAAGGGGGGGTATATAGGGGGTTTAATAGGGGACTACTATAGGGCTTGTTAAGGGGGATACTAGGAGTTTAGACAGTGGCTCACATGAAGTTGTTGTGTGGGATGCTTACCAGCTGCCTGTGGCACACTCATGGCACTCAAGTCATGTCCCAGCGCAAGAGTTAGCCCTGGCTGCAGGACAACGACTTCGAGGCTTTTGTAGACCCGAATGCTCTTGGGATTCAAAGATCCAGTTCTGAGTACTTTTGCATGTATTTGCCCACTTGTGGTGTGCGTTGATTACTCACTTGCTTTTTGGATCTTCTTTGCTCTGCTCTACTGTTGGCTTACAATATACCCGCAATATAACCCAACATAACCCCTAATATTACCCTATTACCCCTAATATGACCCCCAATATAACCCCTGATATTACCTTATTACCCCTAATATTACCCCTAGAATAACCCCTAATATAACGCCTAGTATTACCCCAAGTAATACGCATAATATTTCCCTTAATATTTAACCCGTAATGATGTGTTGGAGTTGAGGCCACAACTCACTTCTACAAGGAGTTTGAGATGAACGCTTTCAACACAACCTGGGAGCTGTGTCTCAACAAGCCTTACGCGGATGGTGGCAGTGCGCCCGAGCTCAGATGGTCCTTTCTTGTCCAGCTTTGCTTGTAGGTGAGTAGGATTACGTACACCCTCTTTGATTTGTAGTAGTATTTCCGAAGAACAATCTTACTTTTCTAGCCTCCGAACAACCCAACCCAGGAGAACTCTATCCCCTAAGCCTGAAATCCTGAACCCTTTCGGGACCGTGTCCATACAGACATCTTCTTGAGGATTCAGGCCACGGAGAAAAGGTCCAATTGAAAAACCTAAACCCTGAACCCTGAACCCTGAACCCTAAAACCCTAAAACCCTAAAACTCTGAACCCTGAACCCTAAACCCTAAAACCCTAAAACCCTGAACCCTGAACCCAGGAGAACTCTACCCGCGTCTTGGGCAAAAAGGGCTGGACCATGGAACCGCCTCTTCGCTGTGCAGCCAAAGTTCAGCCTCCCAACGCTCTGAACAACGCTCGGCAGCAGGTGCCTCTTTCCTTGCTCAGGGTTTACGGAGTTTGGGGTTTAAGGTTTAGGGAGTTTAGGCTTTAGGGTTTAGGGTTTGGAGAGGTTTGGATTATTTTCTACCATAAAAATTGGAGAGTTCCCAACGTCATGGGTACCACTTTGGGGGTCCCCATGGCCCATGTCCCTGTATTGTGGGAAACTACCAAATGAAAATTCCGAGGACATGTTGTTCAACATGTTTTGCATTCAGCAAAACCGGCTCGTAAGCCGCATCCCTGCAAGTTGCAAGTATAGGGAGTAAATAAGGGTTATATAGGGATTATACAGGGATTATATTGGGATTATATAGGGATTGTATATGTATATTTAGGGTTTAGGGGTTTAGGGGTTCTAGGGTTTAGGGTACCCTGTTTTCAGAAACCCCACGTCTTCTTGGACATTGTGCTGCCACTTTTTGTTTTCATGTGCAAGCACGCATAAAAAAGTAGCAGCGCAATGTCCAAGTACCATGTTTTAAGAAGCCCCCCATAAACCGTAAACCCTAAACCCTAAAACCCCTAAACCCCTAAACCCTAAACGATATAATCCCTATATAATCCTTATATAATCCCTATATAACCCTATATAATCCCCATATAGCCCTATATAATCCCTCTATCTCCCTGATATAACCCCCCTTAATCCATCAGGGAGAATATTGGACGGTGGAGATTGCGCTTCCCCTCGCCAGCCTGGCCGAGCGCACAGGTGTGGCTGTTGCACTCGGCTTATGTAATTATAGAGGGATTATATAGGGTTTAGGGTTTAGGGTTTAGGGTGTAGGGTTTCGGGTTTAGGGTTTAGGGTTCAAGGTTTAGGGTTACCCTATATGACCCCTATAATGGCCCATATACTATGGTAGTTTCCATTTTATTTTCCATTCTACCCAATATAAAACGTATATAACCCCTATAAAGCCCTATAGAATATAGTAGCTTGTTTAGTTCACAAGATAGTTGTGCTATCCTCCGCCGAAGCGCTAAATCCTAAGCCCCAACCGCGTTTGAGGGGCTGTGTAGGGATGAATGGGGCCGTGCAAAGAAGTAGGCCCGGTAGTTTGGGGTAGGGTAGGCTTCGAGCGAAACCTTTGAAGCATTTTGCAATGTGGTCCCCATATACATTCCGATGTGTATACATATATAAGGAGGGTTTAGGGTTTAGGGTGCATTCGTTAGGTTTAAGGGTACATTCCCAAAGATATACATATACACGTATACACACACACATATATATATACAGACGAACATAAAACATGAGCAACACCAATTTCGTTCAAAACTCCCGTACGCATTCAGTCCCAAGCCCAACCCCGAAACCTTAAACCCTCAACCCTAAACCCCAAACCCAAACTCCCTACACCCTAAAAGCCCTACACCCAAGCCCCAAAAATCCCTTCACCCTAACGTGAGAGCCCTATTATAATATAGTAGTTTCCATTTTCTTTTCCATTATCCCTATATAACCCCAATATAAACCTATAACCCCTATATAACCCCAATGTAACCCCTATAATCCCCCCTGCTTCAGCCGCCGCAGGCGCCGTGGCGCCCCCGCGTCCCGGCGACTTCTGGCGAGCTAGCTTCAGCCGGGTCCAGTGGGCTGTCAAGGTTGGCCCATGTTAGCTAGGGAATAAATAGGCTCTAGGGTTAAGGATTTGGGTTTAGAGTTTAGGGTTTAGGGTCTAAACTCCTTAAAGGGGTGTTATTTAGGGGATTATGTAAGGGTTCCTGAGGGGCATACTAGGAGTTCGGACTGTGGCCCATGTAACGTTAGGGTTCCGGTTGAGGGTTTCCTCTGACATGATGGGCCCCCTGTCGGGTCGAAATAGTAAGGATTGTAAGGCATAAGGGTCTATTGTCTATTTGGGGCCGCTTGTTCATAGAAACTACCGTGGAGGGAGAAGAGAGTGGAACATACTGTTGATGGAGGAAATCTTGCACCACCCTACAGTCCCCAAACTATTGTACCTGATGAGGGTTTTCAGGACTTGCGGTGGCAGGAGTTCCTCCATCAACAGTACGACCGGTTGCAGTTTTGGGTGCAAGAAAAAGGAAACTACTGCGGAGTACAGGGCTATGGTGTGTGTTGCACTTTCCGATTTTGTCCATCGCTGATGGAAGAGGAAATAGGGAAGATCATACGCTGATCGTGCTTTCATTTCATCTCAGCGCAGGTAAGCACTGACCCTAGATCCTAAACCCTAAACCCTAAACCCTGAACCCTGAACCCTGAACGCTAATCAGCGCAGGTAAATCCTGCCAACGACACCTACGAGAAGAGCCCGTCTTGCCAGTCCTGTCCTGAACCGGGCAGCGCCCACGAGGACAACTGGGTCTGGTCTCCGCAGTCTGCGGCTCAGGGCTTAGGGTCTTGGGGTTTTGGGATTTTTTTTTGTGTTTATGGGTTTAGTGGGGTTCAGGGTTTAGGTTTTAGGGTTCAGGGTTTAGGGTTTCGGGGTTTTAGGGTCTAGGCTTAAGGGCTTCGGGGCTTCTACTCGTTCTTGCTTGAAGCGCCCAGGGTCTAGGATTTAGGAGTAAAGCTCTGAAATGGGTATTCTAATAGAGATGAAATGGAAGCTGGCATGGTATGGGGCGAGGGGGAGAAGCTTGAGAGAGGCCAAGATGCTTTGGCTGAGTTGCTGTTTAGAAACTTAGATTCAGTTGCTGGAATCAGAATACCTAAGACCTAAGAAATCCTGTTTCCATTTAAAACACATGTAGCGATTATATGCGACATGCACAATGAGACACGCTTTCACCAAGGAATGTGCACAGTCTTGATAGGCTTGCTCTTTGGCATCAGTCGTCCCACCATGTCATAAAGTATGGGCCCACAACAGTCCCATCCCTACTTTTTACTACATACCTATATCATGGAAACTTAAGCCCTATACCCTAAGCCCTATATACCCTAAACGCGAAATCCCAATATTATGGTGACTTACATTAAGCTCCGCAGCAGCAACGCAGTTGGGACACTATTGAGATGTCCCAGGTATGCGATCCAGATGCATCAGCCAGAGACATGGGGAATCTGGGTTGCTGTTACATGAATAGGGTTTCCTGATTCAAGTAACCCTAAACCCTAAACCCCGTATTTCCTTGATGCTAATAACCCTAAACCCTATATACCCTTGATTCTGGTAACTCTGAACCCTATAAACCCTACTATATACCCTTTATGTTGGTAACACTATAGAGCCCTTACTCTGGTAACTTGAAGTTCTTCACAATAGCAAGCAAGGAATCCTGCAGTTCGAGGGACCATCAGTGAACGCCACCGGCGCGACCTACTACTCGGTCGGGTGCTTAGTGGGGTTCAGAGTTCAGGGTTTAAGGTTAGGGTTTAGGGTTCAGGGTCTAGGCTTTAGGGTTAGGGTTGAGGTTTTGGGTTTAGGGCTGAGTGGTGTTCAGGGAGTGGGGGCTTCCCAAAATGAGATTACCTTATGATAGGGATTCTTGTATTTTCGGGTCTATATTGGCGTCCACCTATTTTGGAAACTGCCACTTTCAGCTGCTCAGAAGATCCTTAGCTATGCAGACGAACCAGTGGCAAGGAGTTTCAGAACCAGACTGAAGTATAGGGAAGTTGTTATCAAAGCTGACTGGCTTATTTCAAGACCAGCAAAAGCATTGATTGCCGCGGTCTTGGCCGCCTTGTCAAGCTCCCGACGGTCTCACATTGGCTACGCATGCATCTGGGAGCGGGCGGCTGCTACAGTCATCTTGCTTGAGCTGTGATAGCTCCTGCTCCTGCCGGTGCCGGTGCTGGTGCGGGTGCCGGTGCTGCTGGTGCTGCTGGTGCTGCTGGTGCTGCTGGTGCTGGTGGCTGGTGCTGCTGGTGGTGGTGATGGCGGCGGTGGTGATGGCGGCGGTGGTGGTAGTGGTGGGGGGGGCGGGAGCGGCGGTCCTTTTCGTCCTTCTATATCCTTCTCCTGCTGCTCCCGCTGCTGTAGAAAGCTGCTGCCACCGTTGTCTTTTCTGCTGCTGCCGCGGCGGCGGTGACGACCGACCATGGCAAGTATAGACGTACCACAACAACTACCAACGCCAATGCCGCCACAATCACCACCACTGCCACCGTCACAAGTGCGAACACTAGTATTACGAGCTGTGTTGTTTGCATCGAGGAGTGGCCAAGCAGAAGTGCAGCCATGGCAATCTACTACGCTGAGCATGCCTACGCAAAGAAGCGAGGCGCGGAGTGCGGAGAGCTTTCATTCCGTTTTTTTGGAGCATGCCACTTGGTAAGGTCAGGGTGTTAGGCAGATGGGGATGAAAAGTGCGGACTCAGACATTGTGTCCCCAGAGGGGTCCCCAGTTCGGGACACACACCTTCTGAATGCCGGCCGAGAGGTGTCTTCACGACCGACATGCATGAGCTGCTGCAGTTTTCGTCGGAGCCCTTCCCTATCTGCGCCGCGGACATCGTAGCAGTCGCCTTTTTTTTAGGGCCCTGCCTCCTAGAAGGTTTCCCAGCACTGCATTCCTTTGACCCTGAAAACGGACGTGCATTTCCTATAGCAGGCATCCAGAGAACAGCGAGGTGCACACAAATCTACAGAGGATCAGGACAATGCCCGAGTAGGACGATGTCCCTATAGTCCTAACCCCAATATAGTAGTTTCCATTTTCTTTTCCATTTATCCCCCTAGAATCCCAATATGGTCCCTATAGTCCTCCCTTAAAACTGTTCTCATCCCTCTTCGCCTAACATATGATTTTCTATGCTTCTGGTCCAGAAGCCGCTTGAGGCTCCGTAACCCTAATGCAAGACAAGTTTAGGATTTAGGATTTAGGGTTTAGGGTCCTAAATTTCCATGCCTTGTTCGGAGAACGGGCTGCGCGTCTGACAGGTTCGCCTGAGCACGCGAGAGAGAGAGAGGGTTTAGGACCCCTAAACCTTAAATCCTTTAGGGGGTTGAAGGTTTAGGGTTTGGGGCATGATCCTGAGGGTATGCGCACAGGATTTCGCGGTAATCCATGAGACCAAAACATAGCTCCTATGCAGCCGCGTCATCATCCTTACCCCTTAAAATCCCTACATGTTTCTTATGGGTTCAGAGTATAGTCCCCCTTAAGTAGATTGAATATGGAATTGCCCCATACCATAATATATCCCCATACACCCCATGTTCTGTTTACTTAAGACCTAAACCATGCAGCTACTGAAGGGGGACTATGGAATCCCGGCAGATTCCTGAAGCAGTGCCTGTGCAAACCCTAAACCCTAAATCCCGAACCCTAAACCCTAAATCCCAAACCCTAAACCCTAAACCCTAAATCCTAAACCCTAAATCCTAAACCCAAAATCCTATAAACCCTAAATCCTTATCAGGTGAGGTTGCGGACACCGTCATCAGCCTTACTGGTGAGGGCAAGGATTCAATCTTCGAGGCATGCACTGTTTGGGCTACTGTTCCCTGGGTTTAGGGTTTGGGGTTGAGGTTTTTGAGTTTAGGGTTTCGGGGTTAAGGGTTTAGGGTTTAGGATGTATAGGGTTTAGGGTTTAGGTTTTGGGGGTTTAGGCTTTAGGACCTTAAGGGAATGCCTTGTTGCAACTTAACCCCAGACTCCAAACCCTGAACAGTAATGTCCTTAAACCCCACATTATTACTATATATCCTCATAGATAACCCATATAACCCTACATGATCCTAAGCCCCATCTAAGCCTAAATGATTCCCGTAGCCGTAGACCTCATATATGGACCCTAAGCTTGCGCAGGCCACTGTGCGGTCTCCAGCCAGCCCAGGGATAACTGCTACGGTGCGCTCGGACCGGTACCTGACAGTCGTGAAGACTTGATTTGCGGCAGAAAAGACCGGGGTTCAGGGTTTGGGGTCTTTGTCACGGATAGTGGTGTGACATAGAGGCTTATGGTAGGCGCATAATGTGCCTTTGCAAGGACAGTCTACGGAGAAAACATTCGGGCCCTGGGCCCTCAATCCTCAAACCTTCTTGTTGTAAACCTTTACATCGGCGTAGAATCTGAGAGCCTCCTTGCCTAACCCTGGACACAACGTATAGATCTGCACAGTATTGCCTTAAAATATAATGTCATTGTGGTGCTTAAGTGTGCTTCATTGTGTTTCATCGAGTCCCTATAAAGTGTGTAGGGCAAGTCCACGTCAAAATTGGGGTTTAGGTTTAGGGCTTGCCTCATATAGCTACCATTTTAGGGTAACACATGTATTTTGTACTATGCCTACCTAGCCTTTTAACTTTCAACCGTGCAACACCTCATTATTCTACCCAAATAAGGGGATCTTGGAAGCCGAAGCCCACATATCTGCCATACAACCCCCACCAGCCCACACACTTCTAATAGCATTGATGGACTCGATCCAGAATAACCTGAAAAGGATTCTTAATAGCCCGGAAATGCTCCGGTTTAGGCAACTTTCTCACTGTTCTCGTTTAGACATCGACTCCAACAGGCCTAAAAGCATGTGCATATCGCAACTCCCTTTTGCCTGTTAGTGGAGCACTCTTTTTCCTAGTGGGCTGCTGACAAGTAGTCCGGATCTGGTCGCGCTTTTCGAGAGAGAGAGAGCGAGATCCAGCATAACACTAATAGGATACCACAATTCCCAGGGTTGGACCAGGCTGGATTTTGACCATGAAGCCTCAAGCCACATCCTGATTCCGATGCGAATCTCAGACAAAATCTTCCTGTAGCCCTACATACCTGTCTCATCTGCTAGAACGTAGAAATTGTCCCCAACCCCTAAACACCCTAGATACTTCTCGCATAGTTCATGAATGATCAATGCTAACATCCCGCAAGAATTCTCTTTCTGGAGTCATGACATCACTGCATCACTCATTAAGCTTTGGGTGTTTCAAATCATGCAACTTCTCAGGCATGAAGCATTGGTTAAGATCTTAAATTCCAAACTCCAGACTGCAAAGCGTACTTTCGGAATTAAAACCCTGTACCCCTGACCCAAACCCTCAACCCTGAATGCCATTGCAAATCTCAAAGCTAAACCCCAAACCTGAACCCTATATCCCAAACCCTGAACCCTCTATATATCCATGTACATATGCACAAATACACACAAACACACACACACATGTATATATATATATATATACACATGTACACATGCAAAATTCACACACACACACACATATATATATATATATACGTGTACATATGCGTCAGCATTCGTGCCCCTCGCTCCCTCATCCCCCAGTGGTTCATGGTAAAGAGTAAGATTAGAATAATTCCCCCAAGGGGGATTGACATTTCTATGCATGCTTTTCATACATATATGACTTCACAAAGCTTCATTTATTCCCAACACATTTCTTCATGCATATGAATGTACAAGTATGATTATGTATATACATATGTCCAATTATGTACTTATATCCAGACATTTCTGTATACATACATGCATACATACCTACATTGCATACCTACGTACATACATACATACATACGAATATTCATACATACATACATACATACATACATACATATGTATATGTATATGTGTTTGTATATGTATATGTGTTTGTATATGTATATGTATATGTATATACATTTTTCAGATAGCAAAGAAAGACAGCCAGGAGTTGACAGCTAGGCTGCGGGATGCGCTCCGTACGCGGGGCTCGCTTCCGTACCTGGGAGTCAGCTTTGGGGCATCTGCGGGTTTCAGGTTTTAAGGGTTAAGATTTAGGGTTTAAGGTGTAGGGTTTAGGGTTCAGTTTTTTTAGTAAGGTTCAGGGTTACTTATGTCCAAGAGTCTTGATTATCATGGCTAGTTCGTGAGATGGTGTGTGCATGGTTGATGGGTTCAGGGTCTTGATGCCGTGTCGAAGGGTTTTTGGGGCTAGGATGTAAGTTTTTTTCGCGGCAGTCCTCGAGCATGTGGGTTTGTTGCTGAATCCTAAGCCCTGCACCTGAAAGTAGCACTCTGGTTTATCTCCAGCTGTCTTGTTGATTGTGATCGGTGACAGTTACGGACGGTTGTCAAGATCGGCGCCTTCGTGCGCTTGGCAAGAGCTATGCGAGTTTTCTGTGACGTTGCTGATTCCGCAGGCTTTTGCAGTAGCTCAAACAACTACTCCTGAGGAGTTAGTCAGCTTCTTGTGTCCTTATGGCGACCAGTGCGCCGCTTCTGGGTGGGGCCAAGACGCTTGATTGCAGATCGTTACCTACCAAGAGAATTAGACGCTGTAAGCTTTGCACCTGGGCCGTACGTCTTAAACCTTGAGCCCAACATCGCGGCTAAGGGCAGGCCACAGCAAGGCATCCATTTTCTATGGCGCGGATGAGTACCTGGAGGAGCTTTACATCATCCGCATAGGGACCCCTCATATATGGTGTACGAGCTTGTGGCCCTGAGGGTACATCCAGATGGAAAGGTTGTGGAAGGGCTCAGAGTTTGAGAGTTCAGTTGTGTGGCATTCTTTCGATAGGCTGCTAAATGTCTTCAGGAAGCTACCGTGTTCTTCCGTGCCCCATAGTCTGTCCTGCCAGCCGCAACCACGGTTAGAGGAGCTCAAGAAGAAATTTGAGCACGATCACGAAATCGCAGCCTTGAAGAATGCCCTGCCAGGCGAGTTAGGCTGCCTTTTCTTGTGCCGTAGTGGCTGGAGGAAATCTTGTGCCATTTTTCGTCATAGTTTATACCCTTGGAATTACAGTATTATGTTGTCCTGGGTGGTGCAAGATTCCCTCGACCCACCATGTGTTCAGTATATGATTTGGAGGAGACCTTGTACGGATCTTGTGAAGTCAAGTCAAGCATTTTGATGACACTTGCCATGCATGAACCAGGGTGGAGGATCCAAAGCTTGCATTTCGGCTTCATATTCCCTAAAGCCTGAGCACCAAGCCAAAAAAACCTGAACCCTAAACCCGAAACCCTTAAAACTCTAAAACACTAAACCATATGTTCTCATTATAGTAGTTTCCATTTTCTTTTCCAGTATCCCTATATAACCCCTACGTAAACCTTAAAACCCCAGAAGGAATCACTCCATGCCTCGACCTGTAGTTAAGGTTTTAAGGTTTTTTGGAGGCGAGGCCGATCCCAATGCTTCAGCAGTGGGCCAGAGTAAGGACTGCGAGAATTGGGGGGTTCCCCAAAATTTGGGGTTACATTGGGATACTGGAAAACCGAATGGAAACTACTATTTAGGGTTTAGGGTTAAGGGCTTAGGGTTTATGGTTTCCCAAAAATTACGGGTACTTTTTTGGGGGTCCCTATAATAAGGATGATAGTATATTGGGGTTTATATTGGGGTCCTCCTATTGTGGGAAATTACCAATTAGCAATTCCGCTCCCACCCGTAGTAAGGATCCCAACTATGATCCCGATTATAAGGGGAGGGTAACCCATTGTGATACTTTCCATTGTATTTTCCATTATCCCTATCTAACCCCAAATTGCTGCACTTTGCGGTTTGCAGTCTACGTGATTTGAGGGTTCAGTTTTTTCTTTCAGGACAAGATGCTGGCAGTGGAGAAGAACAACGAGAATAGGACTGCATCCAGTCCCATGCTGTGCCAAGCCTCGCCAAGCTTTGACACGCTTTCTGCATGCCTCTTGCACTTGGGAAATGAGAGGCCGCTGTGTAGGGTGTGGCTGAATTGCTTGTGCAGGAGCCTGAAGACCAACCGGCTCTTCCCGACCCCGAACAAGCCGGACCCAATGCCGCAGAATCTGGCATTCCTGTTCACCAAGATCACGCCTGAGCAGATGATCTACATGCCGACCGGGCTACACAGTCGGTGTTCGTTTTCTTCCAGCGTTCAGTTCAAAAAACATGGGGTCTGTCGCACAGTGGGAGTCTTTCTCTGCAAGCAAAGTTGTAGGTGGAACGTGCTTACGGCCATCTTTGCGTCGCAAGTTCTCATGGTGATTGCTTACTGCGGGGCCTTGGCTTGCTTCCCGGACTACTGGTGGACTTGCACGCTGTGCTTCGGCCTGCCTTTCTCGTACATTGCCATTCAGAAGAACCTCGGCCGCATGAACATGAAACTTGTGCATGTGGCATGCTTTCGGCGGCGGAGGGAGCATTCTTGTGTGTAGGAGCTTATCCATGGAAAGGGTGCATGGGGCTATGAGCTGCAAGCATGCTCTTTTTTGGGAGGTGTTGTAGAGGGCTGTGACTTTGTTGTGTGCTTGCCATGCAATGTTTCTTGACTCTTGTGACTATGACTATCAGCATCTACATCGACCACGACGTGATGCATGGGGCTACCTTCCCCGTCTATGAGTGGCAGCGGTTCCTCACACATCCCTTCTCGGATTTTGTCTCCTTACCCTGGGAGGAGTTCGTCCTGGAGCACAACAGGCCCTGCGGCAGCCAGTGTTTATCGTTTAAGTAGTCCTTCGGTGATTTCAGCAGCAAAAGGGTGTGCAAGTAGAAAGCGGCTGACAGGCATCATGCGTCTACCGTGGACCTGTTGATCCAGGGGGAGTTTGGCTGGGATCCGGAGGAGTTCCACTACGCTCTGCAGCAGTGGGCTGGGCCATGGGGCTCCAACTGGTACAAGTACCTGCTGACAGTTCCGTTCATCCCGGTCATCCACTTCTTCGGTCTGAACGATACCGGCTCCCTCTTTGCTCTGGAATGGTGGATGCACTTCCCAGATGAGGGCGCAGGCGGCAAGTGCAACAAGGAGTTTCTCAGCTCACAAAGTCCCGTCCACAATTTCTGACAATAGAAAAAGGGATTACCTGTTTGAGTGTCAACCCTATCAGTTAGTGACTGTGTAAAAAGAAGTTTTTTTACATAACATCAGCTTAGTGTGTCTTTGAACCTTTGCTGTCATGCTGTCATGCGAAAGGTTCTGGAGCAAGTGGGTTCCGCGCAGGATCGGCACTGCCTCGCACTGCTTTCTGTGTGCCCTTTAACTTACGGGGGGCTAGTAGCGAGGGAGTAAGGGAGTATAGTCTATAGGGAATATATAGATATTTTAGTCTAATTCCTACTATAAGTTAGCTCCTAGGCAGGTTGTGGCGATCTATTCGTTTTTCTCCTACGCAGGATCAAACACAACGCCTTCGTGCTGTCTCTGTGGGCCTGCGTGTGGCTGCTCGGCACCTACCCTCTGGGACGTCCCCTCAGCGAGGCGTGGGTGTCCGTCTTCTGCTGTGCTGTCAACCACCTAGAAAACCTAGAATCTGACCTAGAACTTAGGTTCCTAAACCCTAAACCCTGAATTTAGTAGTTTTCATTCTCTTTTCCACTATTCCTATGTAACCCTAACATACTCAATCAAGTGGCCAGTGAGGGTTGGAGATTCATGTTCACCGTGTCCTTCTTCGCGCGCATCGGTTACTCTGCGGCTTGGATGTTCATCACGAACTTCACCCACAGAGAACTGCTTGCCAATAGTCAGCTTTGAAATGTTTGAGTTTCGGAATTGAAGACACAAGCTGGATTTCTTATTCCTATACTGGCTTTTGGTGAGTTAGGAATGAAGGACTGGATCCATCCCTAGATAACCCATTATAGTAGTTTCCATTTTCTTTTCCATTCCTTCATTCCCAGCTAACCCAAGGCCAGTAGAGTGTTTTACTCGGCAAGGTCTTCCTTGGAACGAGTTCCTCGCACAGGATCCAGGCCGTACCTGGCCTGTGCTCCACAACATGATGGCCATGGTGCTGGGTGGTAAGCACCGCTGGAACGAGATGCTCTTCCACGATGTGCCTTGGCTTTTTTTGTGAAGTGCCGTGTCAGGTTGCAGCAGTGCAACCGGCTAAAACTCAGGTCCACCATGCTTTTCCTAACGCCGTCGGCACGCTGAGCCAGCGCGGCCGTTTTCATGGCTGGGAGAAGGTGCACGACGCTGCCGCCGAGGTTCTCCACCGTGGTCTTTGGAAGCCCAATGGCGATGAGGAGAAGGGTTATCGTCTTTAGTAGGAATTCCGCCGGGCTTTCATCGCGGCGGTCCCACCGCTTAGTATTATTGCTGATAATGATTTTGGTGATCCTGGTGCTCTTTCTTGTCTTATCCCTAGTTTATCCCTAGTCGTAGTAGTTGCATTTCTTGAGCTCTCCGGGCTGTTGGTCGTCTGGTAAGTTCTAATCTAAAACCCGAAATGCCAAACCACGACGAAATTCTGTCCAAGAGGAAACAGTCATGCAGAAGACGCAAAAGAAGCGTTCCTTGATGATGAAGCAAGGCAAATGAGGTGGCAATTTTCAAGCTCTTCCGACCCAAGTGGCTGGTACGAGCTGACCCTGTACAGTTGTGTCTGTTCAAGGACACCACCATGTAGCATGTTGCTGCACTGAGAGTTTCCGCCCAAGGTGGACAAAGTGTGCATCGCCTAGATGTCTAAGGACGATCCGGCTGAAGGCAGCTGTCCAAGTTTCCTCTTATCATCGAGAATGTCTGTACGAATGGGGCAGGTATAGTGAAAAGATGTGAAGAGATGCTTATGTTCAAGAATCTAGTGTATCATGGGGTGAGATGGTTTGTATACATGGTTAATGGGTTCAGGGTGTTGATGCCGTGTAGAGGGTATTCGTGGTTGGGATTTAGGTTTTATTCCGCGGCAGTCCTCGAACGTGTGAATCTGCTGCTGAATCTTAAGCCCTAGACCTGTGGGAAGCAATGGGCATGCAAAGTAACACTTTGGTTCATCTCCATTTGTCTTGTTGATTGTGTTCGGCGATAGTTGCGGACGGTTGTCAAAATCCACGCCTTCGTGCGCTTGGCAAGAGCTATGCGGAGTTTTCTTTGACGTTGCTGACTCGGCAGGCTTTTGCAGTAGCTCAAACAACTACTCCTGAGGAGTTAGTCAGCTTCTTCTGTCCTTATGGCGACCAGTGCGCCGCTTCTCGGTGGGGCCAAGATGCTTGGTTGCAGATCGTTACCTCCCAGGAGAATCAGAAATTGCAAGCCCTACACCTGGGCCGTACGTCTTTAACCTTGAGCCCAACATCGCTAAGGGCAGGCCACAGCAAGGCATCCATTTTCTATGGCGCGGACGAGTACCTGGAGGAGCTTTACATCATCCCCATAGGGACCCCTCATATATGGTGTACGAGCTTGTGGCCCTGAGGGTACATCCAGATGGAAAGGTTGTGGAAGGGCTCAGAGTTTGAGAGTTCAGTTGTGTGGCATTCTTTCGATAGGCTGCTAAATGTCTTCAGGAAGCCAGCTACCGTGTTCTTCTGTGCCCCATAATCTGTCCTGCCAGCCGCAACCACAGTTAGAGGAGCTCAAGAAGAAATTTGAGCACGATCACGAAATCGCAGCCTTGAAGAATGCCCTGCCAGGCGAGTTAGGCTGCCTTTTCTTGTGCCGTAGTGGCTGGAGGAAATCTTGTGCAATTTTTCGTCATAGTTTATACCCTTGAAATTACAGTATTATGTTTTCCTGGGTCGTGCAAGATTCCCTCGATCCACCATGTGCTCAGTATATGATTTGGAGGAGACCTTGTACGGATCTTGTGAAGGCAAGTCAAGCATTTTGATGACACTTGCCATGCACGAACCAGGGTGGAGGATCCAAAGCTTTCATTTCGGTCCCATTTTCCCTAAACCCTGAGCACTAAACCCTAAACCCTATATTCCCATTATGGTAGTTTCCATTTTCGTTTCCATTATCCCTGTATAACCGCTATATAAACCCTAAAACCCCAGAAGAAGGAAGCATTCCGTAACAAAATGGAAGCTACTATAATGGGAATGCAGGGTTTAAAGTTTTAAGGTTTTAGGGTTTTAGGGTTTTAGGGTTTTAGGGTTTTATGGATTTCGGGTTTAGGGTCTAGGGTTTAGGAATTAGGGTTTTAAGGCTTTGGGGTT